ATTTGGAATTATGGTCTGGTTGCCAGTTTGTTTTCTCTCTTCTTTGTTTTGGAGGTGATCTAGAAATGTGCAGATCAGATCCTACATTCTTTTTTCATGATAAGTTCATTTTATGAAGAAGAGTTGGGGCACTGGCTTTTTACTAGAATTGATACGTTATTCTTCTATATATTTATCCAGTTTGGTGGAAAAGATGACTTTCTGTTGGAGACCTCACTTCACACATGCAATTTATATATTACAGTTTTGCAGAAATGTTTTTTTAAAGACTTTTTAAAATTTATTTGACAGAGAGAGACACAGCGAGAGAGGGAACACAAGCAGGGGGAGTGGGAGAGGGAGAAGCAGGCTTCCCTCTGAGCAGAGAGCTGGACGTGGGACTCAATCCCAGGACCCTGGGATCATGACCTGAGCCTAAGGCAGATGCTTAATGACTGAGCCACCCAGGTGCCCCATGCAGAAATGTTTTTTAAGGATTATGAAGCCTATTTCACATGACATGGCCTTGTCTAAGAAAAGGCTTTTCTTCAAAGTCTTATTTAAATTTAAATACCTGTAGTATTTTAAGACCTGTCAAAATAAAATAACATCCCAGTCCAAAGAAAATGCTGTTTGTTTGATAACGAGCTTTAGTGCCTCTATATTAAGTATTAATTTCTCTTTGAAAAAATGCTCTTAAACTTCTGATTCACAATTTATTTTATAATTTTTCAGAGATTGCTATTTACTTAATTATTTAGTAGTTTTTATAGCACATCATCTTTATCTATGAAAAATGTCCATATCCCTCTTCATTCTTACCCATCTTGTTGCTGAGAATATAAGAGATGTGTTTTGGAAAGGACAGTGTTGCTGAACTCATCGGCCATATTTTTGCCTTTATGGCACCATCCATTTGTTTATATTGAATGCCTAACTCACTATAGGTGTGTACTCATAAAGACATTGGGACTATAATGGTGAGTAAAATAGACATACTATTTCATCTTAGGAAAACTTGCAGTTTAATGAGAAGATAACTATTAAAGAAATACATATGCAAATAAAAGTAAAGTTACAACCAACATAGATGGCAGAAGAGGTGTGGTGAGTGACATTGCCTAAGAGATTAGTTGACTACATTGATCAAGTGGCTGCTTCAAGGAAGGTTTCCTTGAGAGTTGAGCTGAGAGTCCATGATAAGGGAAGAGATCATGTAGAAAAGGCAGAGATAGGAAGGATCATGTCACAATTGAGTAAGTTTAATAATGCCATTTAAGAGTTTTTGGTCTTTATTCTAACAGAAGTGTAGTGCCAATACACAGTGGGGTGATGTGATCTAAATCACATTTAGAAGGCATCTGTGTAGTTGTAATTTGGAGGAAAAATGTAGAAGGCAAAAAGAAGTTTAGGTTCCTAGTTGGTAGGCTTTTGCAAGGATCCCATTTGCAAAAAATGGTAGTTTAGTTGAGGTGGTTGTGGTAGTAGAGATGAAGAGAGGTAGATGCATTCTACAGATGTTTGGTGGGAAGAATTGAAAAGGTTTGATGACTAATGTATTAAATATTTGCAAATACAGGAGAGGAAAGAATCTACGATGATGCCTAAGTTTTTGGGTAACCAGACACGGTGGAATTTGGTGCCATTTGGTGAGAGGTGCAAAATGGAGACGACCAGTTTTTTGTTTTTTTTTTTTTATTTATTCATGAGAGACAGAGACAGAGAGAGAGGCAGAGGGAGAAGCAGGCTCCCAAGGAGCAGAGAGCCTGATGCGGGACTCGATCCCAGGACCCTGGGATCATGACCTGAGCTGAAGGCAGACGCTTAACCATCTGAGCCACCCAGGCGCCCAGAGAGGACCAGTTTTTGAGAGAAAGGTCATAGGTTTGGTTTGGAGCAATTGAAGAGATCAGTTGTCCAGGTAGATGTGACATTCTGGAATTATACAGTACTTCAGTTTAAGATAGTAGGTAGTTTCTTTGAATATTATTTTAAAGTTTACGATTTTTTTAAAACTAGAATTTTAGAAAGTTTATTGCTCTTTATTATTATTTAACATATTACCAAAAAGAAATAACTTAAAGATTTAAAAATACACTTGATATTTTATGGGACTCCTCTAATACTTCATAACTATAAAGAGCGACTAGGCTTTGTTCTGTCCTGTTATTTTTTTTATTTGCAATTTTGGGGCAGCATAATGTAACTATTCTCATTGTTTCATGAGTAGATTATATTGCTGTGAATGATCTCTCATTTGAATCAACTGTATGCAAAATAATGTAGACAATGGTAGGGTATAAAGAATTAAAAATTATAACTAGTGGGGGCACCTGGCTGGCTCAGTCAGGAGAGCATGTGACTTAATCTTGGGGTAGTAGGTTCAACCTTATGTTGGGTGTGGAGCGTATTTAAAAAAAAATTATAACTAGTAGCTACATTAGAAGTGTATGGTGTTTTTTTGCAGAGTAGAAATAATTTTTAACATCAGGGATGATATGATTTTTAGGAGATATTTAAGGACAGTCACTCTGTTCTGCATAATGTTTTATGCTAACCTTAGTACGGATTTTCTTGGTAGTATAATGTTTTATACAAACCTGAATCTGAAATATTAATGTGCTCTATGAGTTACTCACTTTATTCTATTTATACTGTTGACTTTGTATTGCCAAAATATTAGCAGTGTTAAAAATAATGAAATCTTTGAGTTTATGGAAGACCTTTAAGTGACTTTTCAGTGGAGAATTGACATGTAAATGGTTTGAAGTTTTCCTGTCTTGCCATAATCACTCTTTAGATAAGGGCCCATTATCTTTTCTTTCCTTATTAACATGAGAATAAAAACAAAATTAGAAAAGGTTTAGAAATAAACCATTTTCTATTCCTGGAATAGAAGTGGATATTATCAAAAAGAAAACTGAAACAATATAAAGCTTTTCTAATTTCAATTTTGATATTTTATTGCCTTTTAATGCAGCATTATTTAAATATTTCCAACTTCAGTTGAAATTTTAAAATGAATGCTTTTTTCATGTTTTTAAAAACTAATATTTTTTTTTATAGGTCTCATATCTTTTGGGTGAACAGAAGTCTACCTTTATGGGGCTTACAGGTTATGTACAATTTTGTTTTACCCCTCTATTTCTGGATTTATTCTTATTTCATAGATGAGTACTATTGGAGAGAAAACTGTTGATATTAAAAATGAGTTTGTTTTATTGCTTATTAATCTTGATGCATGTCTTAGACAACTGTTTTTTTCCCCCTATCTTCATGTTTGCCTGAGCCCTGCATTCTACTTTTTGAGAATTTCCTTCTGATCAGGATTAGACTTCAGAAAGCTTTTGAGGGTGTGGAGAAAAAAAGAGTAAACCAGTGTGTTAAGGCACCACAAGTTCCCCAAATGACTCTAGGTATTCATCTTATGTAATCCTTGAAAAATTAATCAAAAGCCCATAACCATGTTTGCTCTTTTACTATATCTGCAGTGTCTGGAACATGGTAGAATCTCAATAAATAATTATTAAATGCATTAAACAAGTGAATGAATGGCTCATATTACCAAGAGCAAGAGCTTGGTCCCTAAACAGATAATTTTGTAAATAAAACAAAAAGTATGTTCTGGCATAAAAGGAGTCCTGAGGAAAGAGTAAGAAAATATGAGAGGGAACATGTCTGAATTATATTGTTGGGGTGTTCCCTAGAGTCCTCTATACCTCTTCTTTGCTCCTTTTTCTGTTGAATTTTATGCCCAGCAAACTTTTTACATGTTCCTATCTCTACTCCTGTCTCTTACAGATACTTTTTATTTTGTTATTTTTCAAAAGTAAGTTATTTAAAGAATACAGTCACTAAGATAAAAAGGTCAAAAGTTACTGCTTGGAAGACAGTTGAATCATGGAAGTAATGGAAAGACTCTAAAACTGACTGTTTATAAAAAGCCTTTAAAATACTTTAAAATCAAGTGTTTGGTTTGTTTTTTAAAGTCATGAGGATTGTGAAGTCTGTACATTTTAAATGTTATAACGGATTATTTTAATTATGTATGCATTGTAATCATAACAATGAAATCAAGTTTTTACTATGTCTGGATATTTCATACTTTTTTGAAGTCAAGTTGCATTTAATTTTTTTATACTGATTTGCATTGCAATGTTGTTAATTACAAATACCCTTTCAAATATTTAAGTGTTCACAAAAAATGCAGTCTTTTAATTTCTAGCTTGATTCCTATATTATTTTTCAGTGAGATACACATTTAAAGTAAGTTAATATTTTTAAGAATAGTCATATATCGCCTTGAAATACATTTTGATCTATTCAAATTGGTTTTATCTGATAATGATATTTTACAATAATAATAATGTTCATTTTCAAATAGGATTTTGAGTAATCCATGCTACAAATGTTCTAGAGACCCTCTAACCCTACTTATAGAAAAAAAGCATGAATGATTATGATTTAAATGACTTGTGGAGAACATCTAAGAGGTGTGCATTTTATATCAGAACAATGCCTGGCTTCCATATGTACTTCTGAACATATTTTAATTATATTGCCATGCATTCATATGCTTCTTTATTGTCCTGTTTTAATATTCACTTGAGTCAAAGTTTTCATTCCAACAGGAGTTAAAATTTAAAATTCCAGGGTATCTGCCTTTCTTATGCGATTGTCTTAAGTCTCAAAATCTGTAAACAAATATATTTGTTATCTATAGAGTCATTTCTTGTTTATGCTTGCTTATTTTGCTTCTATTCACCTACCCCAAAGTGCTGAGAGTACTTAATACAAAATAATTTGGATATTTTTTCTAGTTACCTTTTCTGTTGCAATCATAGCTTTTTGGTAGTTCAGCAGCAGAAATTGTATATATATTAGCAAATGTAGAGAAAGTGGAAGCTTGTCTAGGACATGCTCTTCCAGCTGTGAAAGAGGAATTGTTTATGAAGTCCATTCAAATAAAATCTCAAAGTATCTGGAAGTGTTGACCTGGACTATTTTGTTTAGTGTTAAGGATGTTGCTGTTTCATTTTGTTTGAGGCAGGTGAGAGAGAGAATGTATCTCTCAACTCGAAGCTTCCATTCTTTTATTTTCTGAAAGGAACTGCTGTCTTTGGTAGATGTTCTAGAGGTGGTGGAGCTGTTGTTGGGAGAGGGTAGTATTTGTGCTGGGGCAGCTATGTGTGATTGTGCATATTAGGAACATACACAAAAGAACATTCTCTACATATCATATAAACTCCAGCCAGTCTGACTATTCTAATCCCACATTTATATTTGAGATAATAAAAAATATTTATTAAGGAGTATTAGAAATATAAAACTAACTTGTAGAACAAACTGCCACCTGTATAGAGAGGTTACAGTGCCACATAATACCTCCTTATATGTATATCTGTATATTATACAAATATATACATACATAGACACATATATGTACATAAAGTTAATAGTTTTATAATCATGAATATATTTTTAAAATTCTGTTGCATTTTCTCATTGAGGTACAATTTTTTTTCAGGTTTCAGTGGCATTGATAAGTTTATTTGAAACAATACTACTTGGTTATCTCAGTTATAAGGTAAGTTATTTTAATTAGAAGTTTTTGGCTGACAGAACACATTACTAGCATTAACCCAGTATTCCTCTATTTATAATTTATACTCTGGGGTAAAGCAAGTCCTTCTTAAACTTCTTTAATTATTTTGGGCCTCTGTGGTATGTGATAAAAATCTGTAGTTGTATAGTAATGTTTGCCTGGGTGGCTTAAAAATATTTCACTAATTCCTGTGGGTTAACTTACCTATTATATACATGCTTATGTGAGGCAAGCAAATGGAATGATCTTGCTTTTAATTGTTCTTAACCTCTTTTCCTGATCTGTACAAAAAACATTGAGGGAGCAAAAACATATCTGTTAGGAATTATTTTAATGGATTATTTAATCTTTGGTGAGACTTTGTCTGGCTAACACAATTTAACAAATATTTATTGAGTCTGTATTTGATGAAGAGCCCCATACTGTGCATTGTTCTTTTCTCAATGAGTTTCCATCTAGAAAGGGGGATAAGGAAGAGAAAATTATGCAGAAAATAATAATACAAAACAGAACAGTAGGTACTTCCAGTGAGGTGCAAATCATGTCCCATGGGGGTAGAGAGATGTCATATCATAGGATGAAAATACTTGACTGATTTAAGCAGAGCAGAGTCCTTGAATCAGTGATTTCAATAAGGAAAGATGAAAAGATAAGACACTAGGGATTTATAGAATTAACAAAGGCATAAAAAAAGTCATGTGCATATAAAATTGGAAGAATAATAAATATTTAAGTTTGGGCAGAATTTTGGGGGGCATCTGAAAAAATATTGGTTGGGAAAATTTGGCACAGTATTGTGAGGGCCTTGTATAGCAACATATAATGGGAATTTGATGGAGGATGTTGAACATGAGAGTTCTATAATTGTAATTAAGTTTTAGTATTAGTTCAGAACATCTGTGCAGCACAGGTCAGAGAGACATCATACTGAGAGCCATGTGCTAAATTAAGACACAATTACCGAAAGGAAAACTGGGAGTGAGTTTTTGGCTGGGTGAATGGAATAGACAGAGTTGACACAAGATGAAATATAAAGGTAGAAACTAAAGAAATCATCACCTGATTTGTTGAGAAAGTTGAGGAAAAGGCAAAGGCAAATATCACTTCAACATTTTCTAAATTCACATGACTGGGAACATGGCAGTAAAACTAAGAAACATTATATCAAGAAAAAATCAGATTGGGGTCAGGATAGATAGAATAATGGAAATGGATTTGGAAATAATGAATTTGAGGTGCTTATGGATAGATAGGTAGACATGACATGTGGACAACTAAAAATGAGAATCTGGAACATGCAGGGAAGAGAGATTTAAGATGTGGAGGTCATTTTCACAGAGATGGTGGAGGAAGCATGCAAGTCTATTAAGTATGGGATAATAGCCAAGGGAGAAGCTAAGGCCCATTTGATGGAGATGCTTATATTGTGGTTGTTGGAAGAAAGACAGAGTAATCAGAGAAGACAGAGACATAGAAAAGAAGGGTAGAAAGACTTTGGAATGGCTATCATATCCATCACTAACCTTCAGTTTATGTTGTCGGCATTTACTATATCAACAAGTGTACTCAAGGTTATGTTTTTGGGGAACTCTTATTTAGCATATCAACTTCTTTCTCACTTTTTAAGACATAGGGTTTTTTTTTTTTTAAGATTTTATTTATTTATTTGACAGAGAGAGACACAGAGAGAGAGGGAACACAAGCAGGGGAGTGGGAGAGGGAGAAGCAGGCTTCCCGCTGAACAGAGAGCCCGATGTGGGGCTTGATCCCAGGACCCTGGGACTATGACCTGAGCTGAAGGCAGACGCTTAATGACTGAGCTACCCAGGCACCCCAGACATAGGGTTTTGAAGATAACATTTCTTAGACTACTTTTAATCCTAAATTTAGAGCAAGAAATCTTTACAAACTCACCTTTTCCGCTGGGTTTATTAAAAAAAAAATCTCCTTAACTCCATCTGAAGAAAATAATGCTAATATCTAATGAGGTGAGATTGATGAATTAGAAAGTATAGAAAGAAAAGAATGTGGGCTTTCCAAAAAATATAGATGGGTTGATTTAATATTTGTGAGAAAAAAATAGGATGTTAGAAATTCTAAGGAAGAGATGTGTTATCTGAAAGGCTGAAAGGGTTGGAACTACAAGTTTATTAAGGAGCTTGAGAAGAGGCTATTGAATTTACAGTTTAGGAGATCATTTGCTATTCACTTGTAAGAAACCAATTTCAGTGGTGTACAATTGGGAGTAAAAGTGTTAAATGAAGAATGTTGATTGACTGGGGTAGGGTCACTACCCTAGAAGTGGTCTAATGAGGCAGAGAAGATTAACCAATGATGGAAAAAAATTTGCATCCTTTGCAGAAAGTAGGTAGAGGGGACTAAGAAAAATGATAGATGAAGCAAGTTTTATACAAAATAATAAGTTGGAGTAGGAACCTGAGGTCTACTGATTTGCTTTGGATACATTCCATTCTTTTCTGAGAGCATAGAAGATGGAAAATTGTGCATGAAAGAATATTTTGAAGCTAGAGAAGAGAAGTTGAAAGACCTTACATGTAGGTAGTCACTCATCCTTATATTACCTAGGAAGTACTCACTCAGTGATGAACAGTATAGACTAATATGTTGAGGAAGATCTTTTAATGATTTATGAGTTTATCTCTTCATTGAAATAGGTGCTCAATTAATGTATATAGATTGACAAATCTAGATTTTGGATACCTAGAAGAGCGAAATAATAATCAAGTGAATTAATATCCAAGATTTTATCTTCTAAGTTACTTAGTATTCAAGTAGGTGATGAAAGTTGAAAGTAATAAAAACAAAATGACATGCTAAAAAATTAGGCACGTGGGTGTTTTTGGTAAATAATTAAATCTCTTCCACTAGTACAAGAGTGTGTATAGATATTTAAGAGGTCAAAATATTAATCTGCATTTTTGAGTGTATTTGCTTTAAATTCTAGCCAAAAAGTAATATGAAATTAACTTTGGTGCTTAGTGGAACTCTTAGCCCTAATTTAAAAATCATTTAAAAAACACAGATTCAAGAAAATTTTCTTGTAATCATATGATATTGACATTTGTAATTAATTACTTCCTGCCATTTATAAAATGAGAGCAAAGCATTATGAGACCTAGTAGCATTATAAGAGCTAGATGATATATAATATTTCCATTCTGACCTTCATAAACATTAATGGCTTAGATGGAGGAGAGATAGATGGTAGTTGAGTTTGTGTTTCAAAGGAAACAAAGGATATAACGGAATTATGTGACATTGGAAGGATAGGTTTCTGGTAATTACCTTCTTTTTCCTCTCATAAATTCAGTCAAACTCATGGACTCTTTTGACCCACTCCAATAGACTGCTGGATAAAATATTTGGAATGAATAAATTAAATAATTGATAACTTTTTATGGCCTATAATTAAGGCAAATTTGGATAGCAGGAACTCAAATGAGCTCCTCCTCTCAAATTAGATTTTTTTTTTTCAAATTAGATTTTTAAGAAAAATTATAGAGAGGTAAGCAGAAATGGATATTGCATTAGCAACTGTATATATTCCTAATATTGTTCTTTGATATGTTAAGTTCTGAACTATCAACATAATAGCAAATCAATATTTATAGTTGTTTACATATATGTACAGATAATGTGCATATTTGTATGTATTATATACATATATATACAATATTTAAAAACAAATTTAATACAGTATTCTATAAGCACTTTATAATTCTTGAAATTAAACATTCTAAAATAAGTGTGATGACTTCATCCTTAACTAAACAGCTTAAACTATTGTGGAGACTGCAGGTTTTGAAAAACAAAGACTGATGAATAAAACCTAAATAAGCAAAAACTCTATAAAGTGCATGTTGAGGTTAGCAGATAATGATTTAAAAATCCCTGACATCAACTTATTTAGTCCTCTATCCTACAGAAGTGCAGGTCTGTACTTAAATCATCATTCCATTCATGTTTATAGCTACTTGGCAGAACAACCATGGGATCGCCCAGCAGTAAAGTTCTTATTCTTCTGTTACCATAAATACCCTCTATGTCTTTATCAACTGCTTTCAAAATAGAACTCTATTTATACACACACATTCATTAAATCAAAAGGAAACGAAAACAAACTCCAGCATAATTTCCAAAATTCTGCAAACAAAAATCCAACATACCTAGAAGGCTTCTGTTAAATCTACAGTTCTTTTTTCTATAATCACTTTATAAAAAGCAACAGTTTTGAAATTTTAACACCATGATGGGCTCCTTTCTGGCAAAGAACAAAGGATTTGACTAGGACTCCTAGACACTCCTAGATCCTGGTGTTTCTTTTTTTTTTTTTTTTCCTAAGATTTTATTTTAGAGAGAGATTGTGAGTGAGAGCAGGACTAGGGGCAGAGGGGGAGGGAGAGGGACAAGCAGACTCCGCACAGAACCCCATGACCCTGAGGTCGTGACCCAAGCCAGCGGAAATCAAGTCAGTAGCTTAATGGACTGAGCCACCTAGGTGTTCCAATACTGGTGATTCTGCTTACGAAGCCATGGAAATGGTGAATCTAATTATTGTTCAGTTTACATTTAGCTATACAAAATAAGACTGCCTTAGGGATACTAAACTATTTTAAATTCACTAAAGAAAATAAGTTATCAGCCTTTTTAGTTACATATTTACATACAGGTATTTTTAATATTGAAGAAGAAAGTGTTTTTAAAAAGTCCCAGGGTACATCTTAGTCTAACAACAATATTACCATACATCTTATAATTTTTAAGTGCATTTTAGAGGTACATACATAATTGTACAGTTATAAACTTCCATTTTTCTTTATGATAAAAATAAAAGCCTGATACATTTTAGAAAGTTACCCATTTTCCTGCATTTTTATTGATTAAGGAAAGTTATGTCCATAACAAATGTTGTAAAATGGTTGGATTAATTTATTTATACTTTATTGAATTCTGTAAGAGAA